TAATTTTTCCATTCACTTGCAATGGCTATAAGAAAGAGATTAAAAATAACCTAAACTTTTCTGCAAGTAGTTCTCCTTTAACATTTATAGTTATAAGATTATTGAACTAGTATAATTTTTTTTTAAAAAGAAAAGCATACATGTACGACCTTTACTTGGTGTTCTCCTGCAGCATGTAAATCTGTTGCAACTATTGACTCAGGAATTCTCAGCTGTACATTCATATTTAACTCAGTTCATTATTTGCTTTACTACTGTACCTTTAAAGACTCTTTCTAATGATCTGGAACCCTGCTGCAACTACACCCTGTGGAAAGGAACTGAACACTGCCATCACAATGTATAGTATGAATGAAATGCAAGACAGACAGGGACTTGCAAAGAAACCGAAAGACTTCTTTTCAGGGCAGGAGGCAGGAGTACTCACATGAGAGAGTACAGCGTGTTTAACATTCTCTAGCACACTTTCATTTAAGGAGAGATTTAAATGAAGATGAAACACTTAGACATTAACAGGAAACTCCTTCAACAGCAACTCCTAAGTGCAAGATGCAACATGCAAGAAAGCAAAAAAAAAAAAATAAATCACTTGATAATTTAGCATTATTGAAGGCCAGAGATGACATCTTAATATGTAATAAAAGATAGAATGAGTCAATCAGCTGCTAAGGACCATGGAAACTAAGACAAGTGATTTATTTTATGTAATAGAGAAGAAATCAGCATGGGAATATAAAAACCTCAGGCAGCCTTCTCAGAGTGCTGGTCAGGAATAATAATCTTATAATAAATCAATAGCATTCCAAAGGTATTGTACAAACCAATTTTGCAACTGTCAAAAAAAGGTGCAGCTGTTAACTAGTTGAGTCACACTGCCTAGGTATAGTGCAGGGAAAGATACAGCTGTGTTTACTACATGTTGGTTAGAACAAGCCATGTAAGACAACTGGAAATGAAAACAGACACAGAACACCTTTGCAGATAGACTTAGATAAGCAGGAAAAGTATTGTTATAAAGAGTGACATAGAAAAACACACAAGGTGGAGGGAGAAGAAGTGAAGCATTATAGTTTCCATTATGTTCTTTAGTAAGCGGCTAAACACATTTGTTCTGATTTTTTCTCTGCAAGTGATGTTACCCAGAATAAAACGTAGCCGAAAAAAGGCAAAAGCCCCAGAAAAAAAATCTGTCTTCCCCTTCTCTCATTTGTTTCCAGGCAGTATAAAGTTTAATTTGGTTTGTCTCTTAAAACTACACACAGAGGTAAATTTGTCTGGGCAACTGATAGTTAGGGCATTATTTTTGTTCTCCCTTCTGCACACTGTTACTACAATAATCTCTCCCTGAAGAGACTTCACAAGTTAGCTATATTCAGGACCTACCAGTATGCAGAACTAGCTCATTTTTCCCTCAATTTTTACCACATTTGTCAATCATTATTTTAATGCATCACAAATAAAGACAGAGCTTGTGTGTAGCATTTATCCACCTCTCTCAACAGGAAGCACAGAAGTTGTCATATTCTTATAGAGCATTTGCACAACTTTCACAATTCATAAATCAGCCAGCTGCTTACACGGTCTGTCAAGCCCTAAGTTATGTTTGGCAGTGGACTAATTTTAGTTACTAGTTCTCTTCAGCATAGATGCAATACCAGGAAGCGTATTAGACTCAGCAACACTATTACTTACAGGGCTTTCTTCACAAGTGGCAGTCTCAGTGTTGCAGTTCAAGTGATCTACCAGTGTAGGTACTTCTCATAGTTGAGCCCTCAGAGCTGTTGAACACTGTGTTGTGTAGTCACTTGGGACATGCCATCAGGCCACAGTGAAATTATGAATGTATGTTTGGATACAGCATAACAGCCAAAGAAAGATGGGCCATAACTAACCTGTTCTTTACGATTATACTCTCAGGTTCCCGCTGAAATGCTATTAGTGTCCATCTCCTTTTTGCAACATAAGTAGGAATTTCAGGAAGGTGGCTGTTGTCGCATATTTAATCAGGGTTTTAATTTCTCCATAGATCATAAAGCTATGCCTACAGAATTTAATTTTATAGATTGGCAAGTACTTGGACAATGGTCATGTACACATGGAAGCTCAGGGATGATAAGAAGTCTGAATTTCAATGCTGAGTACCCTCTGTAAGCAGTAGCACCAAGGAACATCAAATCATAGAGAAGAGATAAAAAGTAATAATAGGAGATTAGCCCCCCGGGCTGTTAAAACACTATGTAAAAGTGGGCTTCAGTGTCACTCTGAAATAACCCAGATGCTTACTTCATTTGATTCTGGATACTGGAATCAAAAGCAATGTCCAGAAGGATTTGACAGAGAATATTGATTTTTTCCCCCACTGGGCTAGTTCTTTCTGATTTTTTAAATCAGAAGAACAAGGCAGGAAAAGTCTAAAGAACTGCAAAAAACCAACTAACCCCTAGTCAAGGTCTAGATATAAATAAGATATGCTTTTCATTACATCTCTCAAAATAAAGAGAAAGAATTAGGGGTAGTGCTTCTCCCATGTTAAGAGCAGGTTACTAAACAGATATCAGAGAAATCCGTTACGACAGGAAGGCGCTAATGCCAAGACAAGAATCTCCAGGTAATGAAGCATAAGTCCTCATGTAGGACAGCAAGCGGTGAATCAGTTAGCATAGTACAGAGAAGAAAATGGAAGTGCAGTAGATAAGCTGTAAAATCACTGCAGAAGATAAGAATAGGGAAATATTATCTATATGATAAACTATATCAACAAAAAAGAGCCAACTTGGAAAGTGCTAACAAGGATTACTGGAAATACTGTATCTTTGCAAAAATAATTTAAGACAGAATTCCATAGTTGTAGAATAGCCTCAGACAGATGGAGACGATGGAGGAACGACTGAAAGACCTAAAGAAACTTAAAAGCTACTAAAAATTAGGTAACAATTTCACTCTTTTTTTTCTTAAACAAATTTCTCTAGTCTGACATTTCTCATGACCTAGTAAAATTACTTCTCAAACTTTTCACTTAGCTGCCTTCTAATACGAAAAATCTTTGTAAAAGATTTAGTACTCATGATGCTTATTTCTTTTGCAGTAAAATGCAAGTATTTCAGAAAAGTTTTATCAAAATACAGCTGTGGTGAGTGTTCTTGACCATAAGGGGCTTTTTACCCTTGAAGAAGCACAGAACATGCATGCAGAAGGCAAGCTTGTTAAGAAAAAATCTATTTTTGGAAACAATTTTGTAGTCTTGGTTCAAACTTAAGTATAATCGCTTCTCAAACTTCCCAGGTAGCTCCCTTCTAGTAAGAAAAATCTTTGTAAAGAAACTGTATTAGCAACCAAAAACACTGAAAAAAGTACAAATGAGTTAAAATAATTTCACATCACTGCACCAATAATAATAAGAGATTATATAAAGAACGCCTTTCCTACATGCATGGGATGTGACGGGAGTAGTTCCACTTACTTTCTTCAGTGATGGTTTAGTCTTATGATGGTTTGGAGGGAAGGAATTGGTTGCAGAACCCAGAACTTGAACAGTCAAGACTTTACTGAGTGGTATGGCAGTAGAAACAGGCAAACAAAAAGCTACAGATGAGGCTGCTGTGCAGTATTGCTTTACAGATTTTGTGTGATCCTTGTTTCTCTGAGGTTTGTGTGTTTTTCCTATGGCTTGGAAGGAAGTATTAGCATCTTCCCCCAACTCCACCTCAGTGACATCTGTTGACTCTGCAAAGTATGTCAGGAAATGTGACCTCTGGAATTTTTTTTTTTTAACCATTTCAGTTGCATGGTGTTTTCCCATCTTAATTGCCATAAAATTCCTGTCACCAGAACTGTGGAATCCCCTAGGACACTTGACAATATTTAATCTCTACCATGATTCTATGATAAGTGATACTCTATAAACAGCAGACTAGAGAGCAGGCACTGAAGTTGTTTCAGGTGCTGACACAGTTCACCTTGCCTCAGGGATCTGGTGAATGACATCTGTTATGTAAAATATGTATCATTTTTGGGAGGTTTTCACGTTTAGCCATTAAAACCGTTGCAGTTATCCCAAATGCAACCATGTATCTGGCACCTTTAAAGAGCAAAGGAGCTCTCAGTAAAGTTTTTAATAAAAAAAAATCAGGTACACAACTATGTTGACATTACACATGTCCAGCACAAATTAAAGAACAATGAAGATGGTCACGGCCTCCATGCCAGGGCAAGGGAGTGGAGTTTTTCAAAGCAGAGAAAACTCACAACAAAGATATCCGCACTGTGACATTTTACAAGGCTGTCAGAAAAGTAAAGTTCACATGAAACCCTGTAATGGTTAACTCAGGCAACGTGAATGTGACAGCAAACACATAGTTGCATAAGTGTTCATATATACTTCCATAATTGTTCTATTTGCGTGCAAAAGCCAGAAGCTAATAGCATGAAGGGAAATTAAAACAAGAATATTCATCAAATAAGGCAGATCAGCCATATAAACAAGAACAGTCAAAGAAAATTTTAAATTTAAGAATTCCATACTAATTAGAATTATATTTGTGGGGTGTTTTTTTTAACTAATTTCATCCCAAATTCTTATTGAAAATCCTGGAAAAAGTGAGGAGAGAATTGTTACTTATTACTATTTTAGCTTCAAAACATGCTAGGATTTGCAAAACATGGTGTCCAAATTAACCATCCCTGTACACCAACCCTGATGTCACGACTGTCTATCATGTTAAAAAAAACAAAAAAAACACCACCCCAAACACATCTGCTGTCACGTGAGAAGCGCCTCCATTTCCTAAAAGTAGCATTAAATAAGTTTTCCAGTGGGGAAAAAGTATCCGAATAAAGGCTCCTGGCTCTTTGCAAGATTGGGGGTGAGGGGAGAGTAATCACATTTGGGGCTGGGAACTCAGGGTTCACTGCCTTGGGAGGGTAGGGAGAAAAAAGGGCCAGACATTGGGGAGGGGGAAGGAAGAGAAGGAATCAGAATAAAGAGCAGCAGGTGCACTTACTGTTTGGTTATCTTCATACAGCTTCAAGTCGTATCCACTCAGCTCCACACAGAAAATTATTGCTGTAACCCCCTCAAAACAGTGGATCCATTTTTTGCGTTCAGATCTCTGCCCACCCACGTCCACCATTTTGAAAGTCAGTTCTTTGAAGGTGAACTTGTTTTCTACAATCCCTGTGGTCATGTCCCGAGAACGCAGAATGTCTTCCACCGTAGGGATGTAGTCCAGTGCTGCAATCCTTTCTAGGTCATTCAAGTAGTATGCAGCATTATCTTCTAGATGGTACTCATTGGAGCGGCAAAAACACTCCTGCACGCCAGGGTCTGCCCAGAGCCGTTTCATGACTCCGAGAAGCTCAGGGGTAATCTCACCTTTGCTCTCAGCTGGGCCCGTCAGGGCAAAAAGCTGCACGGCATCGTAGGCTCTGTCAGGATTGTGAAATTCTATCTTAAGGGTGGCTAGAGCCCGAATGATACGTGTGAGAGAGTCAATCGCGTTATAGATAATCAGAGGTTTGTATTCCTTACAGGCCTCCAAGTTAAAGCCACCACTATGAATTATTTTCATCTGCTTTACAATAGTGCTCTTCCCCGAATTGCTGGTACCCAGGAGAAGGAGCTTAATCTCTCTTCGTTGTCGCTGACTTTCAGAGCGCAGGTGGCGGTCAATCCTACGGGACCGCCGCGCTGCCTCTTTCTCCTCAGAGCTTTGCCGACATCCCATGGTATAGCAGGCAGTTACAGAAGGGAAGGGAAGGGCTGGAGATGGTCTTGCTCTGTGTGCGTCTCTGACAAAGATCTGTGGTGTCTTTCAGTTCTTGTGCGAGGTACCCTTCGAACAGCAAAAGTCACTCTCCAATACCTAGTGGTCCAAGATGCTGGTACCACCTAATTCAGTCCCAGCAGGGGTGCAAGCATATGTAGGTATGCAGCCACAGAAATAGTCTCTTCAGTAGATCTCATGGCACTCCCCTTCCTAGTGCATAAACACTGGCACATTCCTGTTAATGAAGGGACACTTCCCTTTGCCTCAGTTTGGCTAGATCCATCAAATACTCTTTTCTGTTCTGCATAATTACTTTGCTGCCTTCTGTCCAAAGGTGAGGAGACGCACTTTCACCTTCTCTGCTCTAGCCCTTGTCCTTTAACTGTATTTTCTAGTTGCTGTGGCGATGCTGCTAGATAAAGCGGAAGCTCTTTGCAGTGGGGCTGTACCTGATTTTGTTCCTCTTCCCCCACTTCTGCAGCTGATCCAGTTCAGCTCTGTAAATCTGTGCTTTCCACCTGCCAAACAACGAGAAAAGAAATGAATGAAATGAGAGACTCCACTCCCTTGCTGCAAACCACTCACTTTCTCCTCCTCTTTTAAACCTTTTATTATCCCAAACAAAATACACATGGAAAAATATGTAATGAAAAGCAAAAGTCTAAAACCCTAGCAAAAGCGTAGGGACAGCTGAAGCTTGCAGACCTAAGCAAATGTGGTTTCTGAACAATAGTAAATCAAATCCTCCTGTTCAGCCTTCTGCGTTTTGTTATCTAAACCTACATGAAAACAAACAGTGCTGAGCTGTGCCCCACTTTCTCCCTCAGCAAGAGCTTATGGCAGTGCTTTTCCTGCACAGTCCTGTTCCGACTGGTTTTCCTGAAGGAGAAAACGAAAAGGACTCAAAACTACTCTTCCCAGTCTATTTATATCAGTATCTTCTGCTCAGATAGATGTCCTCCTGAGTTTTCTTTCATCTTTTCTGTTTGCACTGAACATTTAAATAACTAAAGTAGAAAGCAAAAGGAGGTGATTAACTGTGCCTCATTATTTTGTAAAAGGGAGAGTTACTGATCTTGGCAGAATACAGTAACAGATCTTCTTTCCCCTTGGAGAACAGTACAGTTAAACGTACTACCTGCATCCTGCTTAATCAGTGAATCGATGCACTACTGCAACAAACTTTGTCTTCTCATAGCTAAAGATAGGTGTTACTGAGCCTCCTCTCTTGCATTTTTAATACAGGAAATTCTGTAAACAGTGACCCCGAGGCGAACGTTTCATACAAAAAGCACAAGAAATGCCACCCCAAACAAGGGCTGACAGCTTTTCAGTGACTGTTAGAGCACTTATTCTTTCCCAAATTAGGGGTTAAGCCTACTAGTGGGAACTTTGCAGAAGGCAACAGCAGGAAGCAGTTACCTCTGGCAGAGGGAAAACACATTGCTAATAGCTGATTGGTGGTAACTTGGCTCTTTTCTAGGAAGGGCTTCTGCTCCCACTAAGCTCTGAGCACAGTGGGCAGCAGAATCACAGATGTCATGGCTTCCTCACCGTATGCCGGCCCCAGCCCACTCTGGCACCTAGTTTTCCCTATGTCTACTTGTGTCTAAAAGGTCTTCCATAAGCATTTTTACAAACTAAACTACATGCCACTGAGATACCCTTAAGGTAGGCCTAAGAAAATTTCAGTCTCTACTTAAGAAATATAACTTCTACTACATTTTAATAAGACTAAGTCTCCCAAATTCAGTTTTCAAAGTTGCCCTAAAAATCCTAAGTCCTTCGTGCATGAGTTCACTAGAATTTCAATGTAGATGTGACATAACATTAAAGTACATATTGAAGATGATTCCACACTAGTAGAAGAGGGACAGAATGATCCAAGCCAGATATTGAACCTCTAACTTTTCTAAGACTACAACTTCTTGTAACCCCATGTACTTTGCTTTCTCTCTTAAGCATCACAGCAGAAATTTTAGCAAATTAAAGATATTTCAGCAATCCAAAGTAGTAATCTGTAATTAAGTATTTTAAATGGAGAACTGGATTTGCCAGCATGTATTTTTCCGCTCCCCACATCACTGACATCATGGGATAAGATTAACTTATAGATATACAGCAGCATGTGGTGGGTCTCATTCCTACTTGGCCACACCGCTCTAGCTGAAAAATATGAACTTATATTTACATGAATTCTATTTGAATTTCCAATGTGTATTTGTTAATGCACAGACATTTAGTAGTACATGTTTTGTAAGACACTGTTTTATTGTTGGGAATTTCAACTCTTCGTTTTTGTCTTGCAAAGAAGTCATTATCAGCTAGGGATTTCAGGAAGATCTTGTTCTACTCTCCCAGTAGCTGTGACCATAGTAGAAATTAGTTATGTCAAATAATAGTTTTTAGCTAACCTTTAAATAATGTTAATTGAGACATAGCACAGCATAAAAACTTCAAGGCAGGGGCTTCACAGATATAGATGAGGACAATTACATCAGCTGCAGTACTTAAGAAGGGTTATATAATTAAAATAATAAAGCTCAGCATTTTGAGATTCTTAGCATCTCAACATTTACATGAAAAACAGCATTGTTCTTAGAAAAGTTATTTGGGAGGGGAGAAGTAAATAATATATCTAGGATTTCATTACTCGGGTGGTAAAAATAAGTGTAATGAACTCAGACTCTTCTTGTTTTGCAAGAAGTATTACTATTCTGTTCTATGTTCTCCGTCACAGTGGGCTATCCTATTCTTAGTTTCTGTATTTTGTACCGTTTTCCCTCCAGACATGTTTAAAGTCACAGATCTCTTCTAATTTATGATGGGCTGTCAAATGGAAAGGTAGAGTCTATATGTCTTTCAGACCCAGGTCCCCCCTGGTATGCATCTCTAGGGTCTACAGTTCTGTAACAGAAGCTAAGCGTTAGGCAGGTTCGTGCAACACACTGGATCCCTCCTCAGCAGTTTCCAGTACACAAATGTGAAGAGTGTGAAACATGCATGTACGGAAGCAAACACAGTTAAGCCATCACTGTTAATCCCTTAACTTCAGAGAAAAAGGTACAGAAACTGAACAGAGCCAATAGATGACAGTGTTACATATCTGTTCCTGAAGTTTCCCAGGATATTAGTCTGGAACAGTTGAGCTTGCAGTCACTCACTCTTAAACACTTTTACTCAATCTATATTTAGCTTTAAATCCCTTCCTAACTCTAACCCTGCTTAAGGGAGATACATAGTTGAACCAGTGTACACCTGGATACAATTCATGATTACTGGGATGAGGAAGGGCAGGATTGATATTGGTGTATTAAGAGAGCATTATATTTTAGTCAGAAGATGATGAATAAGTGATTACCAGAAACAACTGCAAAATTCCACAGGTGGAACTCTGACCACAAAAAAGTGAACACTCAAAAAACTAGTATATGAAGTATACCAATTACAACGTGCTTCGATATCCCTGTCCTTCCTGTCTTTCCTTAGATTCACAGAACACCATTAACACATTTTCAGAACTGCAGTGTTCACTCAGCTCATTAGAACTCTTGCACAGTACTTCAGCTTCCTCTCTTCTTTCTTGCTCCTGTTTAAATCTGCCTTCTCACTACGTTCTTTTAATCTCTGTGCTCTTAACACCTGCCTGAAAACTCATCCCAAATCCACATATATGAAATGAAGTAACTAGAACAGGACTTCTACAGTAACTAATTCCAAAAACTAACCATGATGATCTTACCCGCAGTTCTAAACTGGTTATCTTGTCAGTACATCAAGTCACCTCTACATGACAGTTCCAAATGCTTATCTGTTGTCTTTGTCTGTATGGACCACAGTGTATGAACGCGCTTGTAAGCATTTTGGGTACCTTAAATTTAAAAGATGTCTGAATCCTTTGCCCAGAACGCACTGTGTATTGCTATTGCTTGGTCTAAAATTCTACAAAAGAATCTTAGTATCAGCTATATATTGTCTTACTTCCTTTTGTAGATCCGAAGGACATTAGCACATAAAGAACAGATTAATCAGCAGAAAATTAAACTAATAGCTTGCACATTAATAGAATGGTAATTAGCACTCCTTTACTTACTCTAATGTAGCACAGATGTGGAAAGGACAACCCTTCCAAATGAGGAGTTCTCGAATGACACTATACATGATTCAATTGTAAAAATTTCCTGAAGAAAAGATCCGAGTATTGTCTCTTGTTGCATTAGCCACTGGCACACATCTTGAAAGATGTTCCCCTTTCCCTTCCCCCCCCAAGATTTTATTGAAAGGAGCTGGCTCCCGTGCGGAGGAGAAAGCCAATGACTGTCAGTATCACAGTCAGTATAGACACTGTGCACAGAGTATGCTGCGAGCAGGAGGAATTCCAGCTGGCATTGTAGGCACAAAGCTATATTGTCCCTCAAATGCAAGTGGTACCAGTAGTCTAATAATTTAGCTTCACCATCACCAGCATGCACACACAGAGCTTCAGGCACTTCATCATATTCAGCTCTCTGCAGTACTTCCATCCTGGTAGCCAGATGATACATATCATTTTTCCTCAGTACTATCTAATTTATTAAAGTTGAAGCCCAGAAGTTTGCAGCAAACCTTCCACAGCAGTTTTAACTATAGTTTCCAGCTATCTAGGTTAATTCAGGACTGATATTCCATTACAGAACATACTACCAGAGGAAGAAAACAAAACCTTATCCAAACTATACTTTCCTAGCTTGTCAGTTCTGATATCTTCTTCTTTCTCTTTACTTATGTGAGTGTTTAGCGGTAGTGGACCTGCCTGTCTGAGCACTTATCCATGTAAAAGCAAACGCAAGCAAATCTGGCATGTAGGAGCACAGCACACATCCAAGGCTTACAAGCGTAAGCTAACCTAGTGTAATCAGTTTCTAATGATTATACACATCCACAGAGAATTCCAGTTGTTTAACAAAACCTTATTTTTGCAGGCTTTAATTTTCAATCACTTCTTACACTATTAGTGAAAGAGAAAAAGACATGAGGGAGTACAATCTATCAGGAAACACCCAAGGTACTTTACTGAGGAACTAAGGCTAATAAGGAATAGGTAAATTGGTTCAGATTTTTGAATTCAGAAAAGCAGCCAAAAAGAGTCCCAGACATGCATGCAGTATAAATGCAAGGCTGAAATAATTTAACAGAAGTTAGCTTACTGTTTCATATATGGTGATAAAAATGCATTTATTACAGCCACAGAAGTAACTAACATTCTCTGTCTCAATGCCTGTGGAAAATTTTCATACAAAAAGAGGTTAAGA